GGGTGGGTGGGTGGGTGTGGGTGGGTAGGTGGGTGGATGATTCATGATTTATGATATTTTTTCCCATGAGGGCAGGGACACCACAACAGCATAGCCAATTATAGTGGGCCCTGTTTAGCAGGGGCACTGAAGATGGTCGTCACCAGCATCTTCAGTGGATCTTTTACGTCCGCCTTATACAGGGTTATATAGTAAAGACAGACGGGGCCTGTGGTTTTAAGTCCTAGTCCGAGAAGACTTGAAGGTCTAACCATTTCCAGATATAATTACAAAGGCAGCACCTTCTCCTCAGTTATTTTAAGACCCGGAGTGTTGGTCCGGCCAAGGCTTTAAACAAGGCCATTCCTCACAACAAACCAACGCTCTTACCAACTGAGCTAACCGAGAGGCAGTGGATGGATGGATGGGTAGATGGATGGATGGGCAGATGGATGGACGGGCAGATGGATGGAAGAAAAGATGAACGATCATAGTTTTCTTTTAGGATACGATAAACATGTTGTTGTTGCATGGTTGAAATCTACATGCTGTAATACCACAAGCATGAGAGTCTGTCACAACGCGCAAGCACCTTCCTGACAAAGGATTCCAAATCCTGCACGTGGTATCCAGCGATGAGGAGAGGATAAAGGAGTTTGTCACTGACCAATCAAAATCTGAGGAAAAAAATAACTATTGCTCACCAAATAAACCATTTGACCTCTTTACCTTGGGTGTAATATTTTCCTAATTCAGACCATGTGTATTTCCCCTGAGAATAAGATTCTTTGTCTGAGTTGTATCCATATTCATGTGTTTTCTCATGCACATCCGTTAAAGAAAGAAATGATACTCCAGGGAATGACACATGGTCCCAATGGGAAAACATTATGCCTAAGGTAAAGAGGTCTATTCTTTTACCTTTCTCCTTCACATTCAGATAACTTTTGCAAGCAGCTTGTGATGTATCAGCCAGCAAGCACTAACTTTGTAGAAAAGTTAATAACTCTAAGCTTCACTCAAGTAAGTTATCATTAGAGTATGTGTACCTGTTACAACTTCCAAGTGGCCACGCAAGGTACATAACACAGACGGTGGAGAAGGCATCAAAAGACACACGGAGAGTGTAGCATCTGCCGAGCTGCAGGCCAGACGGTACTTATCATCATGTGCAAATTTTATTGCTGTAACTAAAAAACCACACAAACTTTTCTTGAAGCTATCACTAAATCTAGATGTAATGCTCCTTTCCCAGACAAGAAGCAAATCTTTTTTGCAATCCAAGATCCAATRCTTTTTCTCAAACTAGTTATAAATATTAGAATAAAACTTGTAGGATAAAAGCTGCAAATTAGGTGTAAAAATCTTTTTGCGATCCAAGATCCTGTTAACCAAAGTCCAATCTAATCCATCAATCTAATCCAGCTCACACTAGTTTTTAGCTAGTTATCTCTTCTTAATCCATCAATGCACAATTCCTTATTTTCCAAAATGAAAAATTCTCTGAAAATTTAGAATTTAGAAGCATATGTGACCAAGTGAATGTTGAACGGCAAGAATGAAGAAACTCATTGCAGGTCTTTTCTAAGATAGGTTGCAGGAAAATAAGTGAAACTAAAACTAAAACTTGAACTAAACAAAAACACAACTAAACAGCACAAAATCTGGAGCAGAACTGATTTATTTTTCAAATTACGAATACTGTTGAGTGATCACTTACATCATCATTCCAAATATGGCTAGTACAAACGTAACGCAACAAACTCGAATAAACCTTCAACCAGTATGTTTTCAACCAGCTTTCAACTTGGTTACACATAAATCAAATTTTGGAGTTAGGGAATGTTTTTGCTTTACAGTGTGATTATGTATGACCTTTCAAAAAATAAAAAGTCAACATTACTTTTTTTCAATTAAAGATAGAGTCAACCAATGTCCTGTTCAGTCTGTCAGTCTACACAATAGAAGGTTTGCATGATGGCGTCATTGACCTCTACTACCAGACTCCCTTGCACACTTTCTTTTCTTCAGTTAATTAGCACCAATTGTCTTGCTATTCTCATGAGCGAATACAAATTTAAATGAGAAAGAAAATTCGTGAAGCATTATGGTAGTGGGAGTCAAATGATGCTATCATGCAAATGTCCTATTCTGGACATTTTTCCCAAGATGGCGGCTGTTTCATTGTTATTTATATCTCAAGGGCTTTTGAATCACACGGTTGCATACACTCTATGGTCAAAAACTGATTGTACTTCACTAAAAGGAAATATTCATTGACTGAATAAGACTTTCATGTAAAAATATATTTTTTTGGTCTTTCAAACATTTTAATAGAAGCAAATGTGATAATTCAGTCTTACCAGCCTCTGCATGTTGGTCAAAGATGTGGTACATCCCCCCAAATGCATAGTTCTCACCAAGTGTAGTGTTGCCTGCCATTTTCCTACAAATGCATCAAAATGAGTCATAAATGAAGGCAGGATGGAAAAAGAAAAAGAGGAAATGGAAGAATGGAAAAATAGAAAGTAAAATAAAAAGAAAGTGAATGAATGAACAAATGAGATAATGAAGAAAGGGAGAAAGAAATGGACCCAGAGAGAAAGGAAAGTGGGATCCAGGATTTTAAAAAGGTAAAGAACATGACTTCACAAGATCACTCACAAAGGGGGGTTCCATAGGTTCCTATTGAGGAGTATAGGAAAAAATGATTGGCAGATGGATGAGTGGTGTATGATTGGATGAAACTGGATGGATAGAGTAAGTCACAAGAACTGATTGATAGATTGGTGATGAATGGTGGATGGATAGATTGATAGATGAATGCTGGTTAGATAAAATAAAAGGCAAACAGTAGTCTTCAGACTTTAATCAAATACCTGCTTGCCTCTGCCTTGCGTGTTGGCACTACACCTCGAGGAGGGGATTCAGTTTTCTCAGGTGGTGGCAGAAACTTGAATGAACCACTGCTGTGGTATCGCCGATGGGTGGGTCTGTTTGGTGAATAGCCATGTGATAAATCACCAGGGTCAATGGGTAATGAATCAAAACTTGTCTGAAAAAAAAATGACAGCTTCAAATTAAATTGATGCCATAAAACAACCTCGGCACTGATCGAAGTCAGGGCATGGCTAACTCTCAGAATGAATCAAAATTTAGTGAGATTTATGGAGGGTGGAAAACTGGAGAACTTGGAGAAAACTTGAATAAAGGAAGACCTAACAAGCCTTTACTCACATGTAAAGATCCCAGAGTTGACCCCAGTATGACACTACATGTTTGTCACCCTTGATTCTAGTGGTGTAGATGTGTTTATTTAACTGATTCACTAAATTCTCTCTTTAATATCTATCTTTGACATGCTACATTACTCACATCAAATGAGCTTAGTCTACTGTAGGTGCTTGCACTTCGGCTTCTGAAACAAAATTGTACAGAGTGTACAATAAGACAATCATGAAACAACATAACCTGAGAAAACAGATGTACCTTCACTTTCCCAAATGACCAAACAACCAAGGTGTTTCTGAAGATATTTTCAAAGGGTCTGTACAATCAATATTAGTGTTTGTATAAAAATAAACATGAAAGAATGACCAAACCACCCAGGTGTTTTTGAACTTCAAGACATTTTCAGTTTGAGAACAATTAATTATATATCTAGCTAAGAGGACAAGGTTTTACAGGGGGAAAGAGGAGAAAAAGAACTTTTTCATTAATACTGCACTATGGCTGTGATTCCCCCCTCTAAATTTAATGAAAAATGTCATTTCTTTGCTTGATTTAGTTTTCATAGTTTTCAGTCTTGGCTTTGACTGTTCACCAAAGATACAAACAAACCGGCAGTCATTACAGAGTTGATTAAAAGGATCAAGAACAGATTTCCCATTTATTACCTTGAGAGTTGAGAAGATTCCGATGGACCATAGCGTTTGGATAGCAGCTGCTTACGAATGTACAAATACTGCCGACGAAAGGTAGGATCTTCTTTCTGTTTCAAAAGTGATAATAATTAAGGGCTATTGAAGTATGATATCGATAATTTCCAAGGATAGTGTCCAGACTGGGTGAGAAGTATGATGTTTACAAACACCCATCCCTCCCACCACCCC